AAGGCAGACCTTCTCTTGTGGTTGTACGAAGTTATCTACTCATGACCTTTTTCGCAATCACTCCCAGGTGAATGCGTGCTGGTGTTCTCTCTTTAGACATCGCGGCTAAGGGAAGAATGGTCGATGGCTTGGAGACGTTAAAAATCAACCCGTCTGTCTTACCTAAAAACGCGTGGCATGAGTAATTTCACTGACAAAAGTATTATAAGTGAAAAATGTTTTAATATTAAAATAAGCGTGTCAAAACTTAAAAACAGATACGTGGTAGATTGTTGCGCGTAGATTGAGCCAGATATATTTATCGTCAAACAACAGAATTGGGACTTCGTTGCAGAAACGGCATAATGAGAGCTTTCAACAACGATCAAAAAGCACGTAATTATTACGTTCTCGCTAAACATCATTGCCAGCTCTTCAAATCTCATTAGCACTTACGCCGGGAAACTTTCCAGTGACACTTTAGCAAAAGCGGGAGGGCAGGACAAGCCGTTCAGGAGGATCGAAGAATATACTATAGAAATGAAGTCGAGAAAGTACAGAAGAAGAAAAAAGAGTAGGGGGAGGTGAGATCTGTGAAAGTGGGAGCGCATAGATGAAATGTATGTGGTCCAAACAGGAGTGAGACGGTAGAGTGAGATGTAGCATGAGAATTGGACGCCCAGACAGAATAGTGGCACTGAGGAGAGAGCTAGTAAACGAGAGGGATACAGGAAACGCGAAAGGAGAGGTGGAATAGTAGAGGAGCTGACGAGGAATGGGAGGTAGAAGAGACGACGACAAGCGTCGACGCAATGAACTGTGGTCGCATGGAGAGAGAGATGAGAAGGCGCCACGGGATCAACATGAGTGTAGCGCAACAGGCAGACGAGCACAGAGCCGAAAAAGCGCGAAGCGCACGGATCAGTTGAAGCATGGCTAGAGAGCAGGGCCAACATCGAGAAAGCGCGGGAGAGGAGAGTAGAGAGCAGGCATCTGTAAAGGGAGGAGAGAGCACGCAGAAGAGAGGCTGAAAACGTGAAAGGGAGGAGAAGAGAGGAGAGAGGCACACGGCGAAAAAGGGAGGAGCCAGGGAGAGAGGCACGGAGCAAAAACGGCCGAGGCGATTGCAGGGAGGCCCGACGAGAAGAGGAAGGGAGGACTGAGGAGGACCAAGAATTCACGGGAGAAGGGAAAGAGAGAGAGCAAGCAGAAGGCAAGCGGCAAACCCGGGCGCCGGCGTCGAGGCCTGAACGAGAGAGGCCAGAACTGGAAGGGCAGGAGAGAACGGCAGAGGCAAGGCAAAATCGCAGAGAGACCGGCAGCGAAAGGTCGCAGAACGAAGCATGGCAGCGGGAAAGGGAATGAGAGGAGGAGGCACGGAAACGGGAAAAGCGAAGAGGACGAGAAAGGGAAAGAGAGAGGAATGAGAAAAAGGAAAAAAAAAGACTGAGGGAGGAGCTAGTGAGGAGACAAGGAAAATGTGAGAGAAGGGAGGGAGATTTAGTGGGAGAAAAGGGAAATATGAGAGGGAGGAGCTAAGTGGAGATAAAGGTGAAAATTTAGTGAGAGGTAAAACACAAACACCCTCCCCCCGCCCCACACCTGTTTCTTTCTCTCCCTCTTTCTCCCTCCCGTTTGTAAACAGATTTGGCAAGGCGAATGAATGAACTGAATGAGTGTACACGTAAATACTGTATGTTGTATGAGATTAGGTGCCCAGTCGCAACGAAATGTAAAGATTAGATGCCATCTAGCCAACAAAATATGTTTTAAGTTTTTGACACGCAATTTTAATATAAAACATTTTCACTTATAATACTTTTGTCAGTGAAATTACTCTGCCAGCGTTTTAAAACGTATTTTAAGTTTAATCGCTTGTTTTTGCAGTGAGAAGGAAAAACCGATCACTGAGTATTGCCGAGAAGCAGAGGATTATTGAAGAAGTAAAAAGGGGGTCAAAGTTGAAGAAGGATATTGCGGCCGAATTTGGAATTCCAACCAGTACTCTATCTACAATTCTAAAAAATGAAGAACGCATTATGCAGGTGACATATGGCGCTGAAATTAAAAAAAGAAATCGGGAAGTTGAATATCCTGATGTTGAAGAAAGTTTGGTGCAATGGTTTCAGCATTGTAGAAGCAACAACATAAACTTGGGTGGAGCAGTTATAAAAGAAAGAGCTGAAGCATTAGCCAAGCTGTTAGGTCATCACGCTTTCCGAGCGAGTAATGGCTGGTTAGAACGATTTAAAAAAAGAAATGGTATCGTTTTCCGAAGAACTTATAATGAATCTGCCAGTGTGTGCGAGTGTGTTTGGGGTGTAGTGGAAGACAGAAAGCCAAACTTCTGAAATGTTATAAACCCCATAATGTTGGGATTGTTGGTGCAAACTTCTGAGAGGTTATGAACCTCATTTGTGTGTGCGCGTGTGCGTGTTTAGTGTGCGTTTTTAATAGATGACGGCATATCGTTTACGTATAACAAAAAGAGAATACGACCTAAGATCGAACCTTGCTGGTCACCATATTCAGTTTGGAAAAGAATCAGAAAGATAAGTAAATGTTCTTTCATGCTAGTACGTTATTTCTACCCTTTGAGATTGATGTTTAAGGTACGAGGTTATCCAATCTAGTTCGATACCACGAAGCATACTGATAAGCATTACCCGAGATCAAATGTCTGTGATGTAGATAGAAACGTGACTACGTGAATTGATGGAATTTGGGAAGGGAATAATGACAACTCTGTATCGAATGTAATCGAATCGCCAAGCCCCTTTAGTCATCGAAGTTCAGGAACTGAAATGTTTCTGAGTAGGCAAATGACCCCTGCTTCTCCCCATCGCGAAGAGTCCTATCAGTGGGGCGAAGGGATGTCCGTATGGGTCGTTCCATGTTTATCTTCAGTTTCCAAGAAAAACGTTTTTGAATTTACTGTTCTTTGAATTAGAACTTCAATTTATTTTTAAGCATGCAAGTAATTTATCTCTGGTTAATAATAATTCGGAAATCAATATATTGCTGCTGGTACCTTTTTTGTTTAAAAAAGGAAAAGAAAATAGCTTCCGAAATAAGATTTATGGGCTTGGAATTAAACTGCCATTAGCGCTCCTTTTTGCACGTCTGAGACATAGAAGGTATTTTGCCAATTAGTGAGAGGATATCGTGATCGTGTTGAGCCTAACTTGTATTAATTGGCGTTCGAAGCGGAGTACGTCATATAACCTCTCAAAAAGGAAGGAGATAAGCTTAAAAAATCAATGAAATTGTATGTTACGCCAAATAGGATTAGAAATGTCAGTTTTACTAAGTTTTATTTCACATGTTTTCATGGTTCTGGCGTTTCACGCTCTGGCTTCTGGCATTTGCTGTTATTGCCTTATAATCAATCGACCTCTAATTATGAGAATTACAAAATGGTTAGTTTCAAAAGTCAGTGATTTCAAAAAAGAAATTTGCTGATTTTCCTATCATTTATTATCTATCATTCGACAGTATTCCCATCGTTGGAGTAGATTCGTTTTTGTACAAAGAACTGGTATAGCTCTTAAAAATTAGGAAGAAATTTACTCTTACGAGACGGACTGCCCAAACATCACCCTACTCCATTAGTAAATAATTAATACTTTTTTGAAAATATCTGCAATGCGTAAAACGTGTTACACATCCCATTGATATATTTGTAATATTTATATTCTGAGACAAAATTTATTTCCATTGAAATTGTTTGCTTGCAATTAAACATACCACTAACTTCTATGGTTTGGATAATTTCATGCGTGTTTCGCAAAATCGGAGAGCCGAATATTGTCTATTGTCACTGAAAGTTTACGAACACGCTACCATCACCAACAATGAGCATGCGCCCACATGCGAACGTTTAATTTCTCATTAATGCGTTTCGTTTTAGTACATGTTCTTATATTTTCTTCCTTCATCCTACAAATAATACAATCAATTTTTCACCAATCAGTGAACTGGAACCTGATCCGCATCGGCCAGTACCGCCTCCCTCCGTATTCCTGATAGTCTTCACGGTATTGTAAATGTTTATTGGGAGTCAGCGCAAAATATTAATTGCATGTACTCATTGTGAATACAAATATTAATTTGTAATTGACAATGTTGCTCAAATTTCTTATGAAAGGGAAAATGAATGTTGTATTTTCTGAGAATTTATTTCAGGCAGTTGTCAACCTAAGATAAGAATGGGTTGTCTGACCGGTTGGTAGAGGTTTTGAATTGATCGATATGGGAGGGTTTTGGTCATGAAAAGAGGTGGGTGCGCTCGTCCGGCACAACGATTTTTGCTCGTTCTGCGCAGAACCAGATCCTTCACGAACCACGTGACCACAGTTCGGGCACTTTGTTTGGAGAGCAAAGCCAAACGCTGAACGTCTTGCTGTCAATTTTCAACGTTGCCAAAACAACGATGAATGTGTGGTTGAAATAGAAGAAGAAATACTTCAAGAAAATGCTTTATATCTGTGTTTCAGTCACTTGTAACAAGGTGATAATTTTGATGGCTGGCTGCACTTTAAATTCCCGCTAATATTGTGTCGCAGACTGGTGCATAAAGCTGCGCAATGACTCGCCCATGTCTTTTCATCATAGTATTGGTATTGTGGAATTTTAGGTCTTCAGTTGCAGAAATGTAAAAATTAGTTCACAATTTTCCGACATTCGGATGATTATCTTCCGTAGAACTTTCCAATTGATTTACACCGAGGCAAAATTTCTGATTCTGGAATGATTGTAGTGATGATGCGGAACAATCATCCTTGTCGGTACCATACTCATGTAGTCTACTTGAATGTGAGTCAACTTTTTCTCAAAACAGGGTTTCTCAAACATTACTTGGGAAGCGGAACTGTAGAAGTACGCGATTCACGTTTAAATAATTTAACAAATTGAGTTTATTATATATTTTCTACGAAATACGCGTTTATATACATGAAAAGAAAACGCACCACCCCGCCACACGGATCCGCCAGGCCTGCACAACACTGTATGCCCGTATTTCTGTTTATCATTGTTGTCTGGAAAGATATTTGATGGCTCTTGGTCAAAAGTTGCCAAAGATAAAAGATTTACATTGTCATAAGGATATCCATTTTTAGTAACGCTTTAGTGGCCTCCTGGGCTGAAATTATTTGAGCGTGGAAGTGGTAGCATTTGGATTCGTGGAGGAGGTCGCGAAATGTCTGTTGTTTTTTTTTTTTTAGCTTCAGTTTCAGCGGAAGTCCTAGAACTGCCCTAGGATAATTCAGAAAAAAAAATTTTTTTTGGATAATAATTCACAGCTTGTACTTCGTCGTTGATGTAAGGAACAACCGTATAGTTAACTGGTCTGTGAAGTAAATGAAACGTGGGATCGAAGTATTGCAGCCGAGGCGAGAGCGAAGCCACACGCGCCCTCCCCAGTGCAGGCCTGACTGATGGTGTGTGTGTGTGCCTTGTGCTCCCCAGGCGCCACCGCCTCCGGGGCTCAAAGCGATCGGGCGGTCGCGGCGGAGGGCGTGGCGCAGAAGGCGAAGGAGCAGGAGCAACAGCACGAAGAGGAAGAGGACTTGGACGACGACGGCAACGACGAAGAATCGGACGAGTTGGAGGACGAGGAAGAGGAGGAAGTGCAGCGGCGGCAGAGGAATCGGCGGCGGCGGCGCCGGGGGCAGCTGCAGCAGCAGGAGGGGCAGAAGAGGGCGCGGCCGACGCGCAAGCGCAGCCCGCCGCCGCCCGCAGTGCCGCCCCCGCGCGCGCCCAAGCAGGAAAGCGGCGCGCGGGGGGCGGTGCCGGGGCCGTCGTGCGTGACCACAACCCACGGAGGAGCGGGCGGGGCCGGGCCGGCGGCCGGCGCGGCAGTTTGGCGTGGCTCATGTGCGGGCGCGACGTGCGCGCACGCCCGCGGGCGCTGCGCGCTGACCACTATGGCCACCGCACGCCGGGGCGCGCCGCGTTCAAGTGCGCCGAGTGCGCCTAATGCGGCTGCTAGGCGTCGGAACGCTGCGCAATGCATAGCGATCCACACGGGCGAGCGCCCGTACGCGTGCGCGCAGTGCGGCGTCGCCTTCACGCAGAGCAACTCGCTGCGCGTGCATGAGCGCATCCACACGGGCGAGCGGCCCTTCCGCTGCGCCGACTGCGACAAGGCGTTCACGGCCAAGGGCCACCTGGCGGCACACCGCCGCAAGCACCACGACCCGGCCGCCCGCGCGCTCGACCTCGACCTCGGCCTGCTCTAGGTGGAAGAACCACTCGCGCGGCGCTTACGAAGCATTGGTTGAAATGCACGAGCGGCACAGTGGCACCGCCCGCCTCCAGCAGAACAGTTTCCATTCGGCAACCTGCACACTTAAGACTCGAGAGCGCCACTGACCTTCTGTTGGCGGCCTGAAGCGGCGATTTACGAATCCTTCTTTTCCCAAGCTCAGTGGCGTGGGACTGTGGCTGTGTGTGAAGGGACTCAGCATTTCTTGAAGGCGAAGTGGCTCCGTGAGAAATTGGCCTTACGATCCAGACAACGTCTGGACGTCTCGACTAATTAATTGTGCGTTGCAATTCTTAGTGTGTGCGTTCTTCGCGGGCGGAGGTAGTGAAATGCTGGCTGTGTGGGAGGCTCGTGGCTGCATTGCCAACTTTTCGGTCGTCGCCCCTAGCCCTGTAGGTTATATTATGTAAAAAGACACCCTTCGTACGCGCTGTCTCCCGCTGTCTCTAATGCGCGCCTATTGATTGCCTATGTGCTTATTGTCACAGGCTTTTTCTGAAGACGCAGGCTTCAGTGATAGAAGTTAAGTGGAGCTTGGCTTTCTGGGAGAGATCGCGTCCTAGGCAGAATTGCCAACGTTTCGATCATGCAGTGCCCTTACAGGGCCAGCTGGAACGCCGTGTCTCCCGGCCAACTAATTTGTCGATTTAATTTTCTCGAAATACGTATATTTGAAGTTGGGAATGTGGCATTGAAGAGACTTGAAATTATTGGCTATTGTGAAGAATTAGAGAAAACAAAAGCTCAACAAAAGTTGAGTTGTCAAATCTGAAATGCATCTCTTCATTCTCGGGAATGCTAATTTTCATTAGAATAACCTCTGACCGATATAAAAATTAATTTTTTTAATACTATGAAAATGTTCTTCATGGAATATGTTTAAGTACACGGGATACATTTTTCTCTGATCTGTATATCTGTTAGAAGTTAGTCGTATACATGTGCATTGCAAGCTAATGTAGGTAATTTTAGATAACTTTATTTTGTTAAATTCGCAGATCTGTAATGTTTAGTGCGTAGGGTTGCCTCGAATTGCTAACATGTTGAACACCAATAATAAAAAACCCACAAAACATCACCAGTTTACCGTGTCATTCAACTTTAATTTCTTAGAGTACAATGTAATACTATTCAATAAAATATAAGCTCGTTTCTAGTCGCCAACTTGAAAGCCACAGTTTTGGTTCATAGGCAGTAGCTCAGTTTATCCTATGCGTAAGAGAATGTCTTAGAAACCTCATTGTAATTATCGTAGTTCTGTTCTTTCTACCTTCAGGAATCATAGGCTGTTCTGGATTAGACAAGGGGAAAATCCTATCATTTAACAAGAAATAGTTTTACTCCCCGTCAGCTGGGTCATGTAAATACGAACTTTCCGGCCTTTAAGGCCGCCCTCATTCACTCCTGTGAATGTTATAAATATTTGGACTCCTTTGCGCTCTCTCTCTCTCTCTCTCTCTCTCTCTCTCTCTCTCTCTCAAAAACTTTTATCAGAGGAAGGGGTTCGAATTTGCGGGATATTTCGCATCATAGTTTGTTTTAAAATTGAAGGATAGGCCCTTTTAGAATACTCTGGCACAATGCTTTTTCCTTACTGTATTTCGAATTTTCAAAAGAAATAAAAAATGCAGTGATTTGTGCGTTAGTTTTTCAGAGGCGTGGGGCATTGCATTGCCCGTATACATTCTTCGGGATGTTTGAAGATTACAATCTTTATGGTGTTTTTTCCTTAGCAACGCTACTTCGAATGGCTAAAATTGATAAGAATTTCGCTTGTACAAACTCCTCCAGCCGGTTGCCTGAAATGTTGCCCCATGGCCATGCTGCAAGGACGATCCTCTTTTAGTCCGTGGAATTTGGGGTGGGACGTTGAGTAGAAGGCAGTTGCTGCTGCCTCCGAGGTGCTCTTGGATGTCGTCTGAACGACATCCTTCCCATTGTGGCGCGCAAAATCGCCACTTTACATCACAACCAGCTTAAAATATTCCTAGCTACTTCGCAGTTTTTTCTAGTTTAATATTGTTTACTTGAATGACAATTGCATGAATTACCCAGTATATTATGTGCATTGTACGAGTATATTGTGCTAATGTATTGTGATTTATGACCAACATTTTAGCTTTTACGCCATATCTCCAACAAAATAAAATGTATTGTTATGTATTCCAAATATCCAAATATATTGTATTAATTGCACTCTGTGTTGTTATTTTTAAGTACCTGTTAACTTTGCACTTCCAACATATTTATAGTGGGATTCGCGAGTGTTGCGATATTAAAGTAATAACCTCCAGCATTGCTTATGTGTTCTCGAGGAAGTATAGAGTAGACATTAAGATACAGTAGAGATTAACTTATGAAACAAAGATGATAACTTTCCTGCAACTGACTGGATAATCAAGGGGCTTCATCTAGGCTTTTGAGGTGTTGAGATCTCAAAAATCAAAAAATCTTCCTATAAAAGACCTCAAAAAATTGTTTCTTGCACAATGCTCAATTCGGTTTCCGAAATGATAGTGTTGCGGAATAACCTTAACTGTGAAATTAATTTTCTTTGAGAGAGAAACAAAATGGTAACACTAAAGAGAGTTCGATGGCACCTCAGAAGTCAAAGTGAAATCCAGAAAGTATTTCCAGGCGAAGGGGAAAATTCTTCTAACCTCTACATAGCTTTGAATTAATGAAAATAATTTTTTTCTGATTAAGAGGATACTAGCCTTTTTACGGAGTCTTGTATAAATCACCCGCCGTAATTGGTTTTGTAACCTCTGAAAATTAATTTTTTATATCGCAAAAGCGGCGCGAAATTATTAATTTTTTTTGTTACACCAAAACAGCTAATGTTTTGTTCCAAGTGTATCGTGATCTTCTCTCGAACAAACATTTCTTTCAACGTGGTCTTGTTTTCAGTAAAGGGTGCCTATAAAGAAACCATTAAAAGAGATTTGCTCAGAAAAAGTAGTTTTTTTTACCCCACAGGGTAGATGTCAGTAATGGGTTTAGGTTTGGAAACTTTTAAAAAAATATTTAATTTTCTGGGCATCGTTTATTGTAGTTTGATTTGATGTTGAAACATGAGAACCAAACTTTTTTAAGTCAATTACAAAATTTTTCTGGAGAGCCATTAAAGTATGTAGTTGGTGAGTAAGGAATATTTTTGTTGCAAGCTTATGGGGTGGATTATTTGGTTTGATGCACACATGCAGACTGACAGAACACAATGGGGCAGAAATATATATATATATATATATATATATATATATATATATATATATATATATTTATTTATTTTAAAAAAATGGTTTGATTCTCAGGTATCGTTATATAGGTGGTATCTCAAGAATTACTTAACGATTTGTTTAAAAATCTTTCTGAACTGTTTTCTTTCGAAGTTCTGTTATAAGTGTTACAAACATTCAATAGCATTTTCTCAAAACTGTCATTAGGGTGTAGGCTCTTAGCCAGGACAGCTCAATTGTTGGCTTGAAATTTTAAAATATGCGTATACCTAATAGGATACCTTTAGGAAATGATACAGGCAATATTGAACTGTTTTTCCCTTTAAACTCAAATGCCATACTATTTCTCCCTTTACACGATTAAATTGATTCACAAAAGTATTCCTCCGTGACCTTCATACGAGTATTTATCTGATTGCGATAAATCATTCATTTTTGTTTTGTCGAGGTGGGTTATTTAGCCATGGTACACACTCATAGCATTGCTCAAATGTCTTACTATTTAATTGAAATAGCAAAAATTTACTGTTAATAGGTTAATTTATTAATAAAATGTGAAAGAATTAACAATTCACTTATCAATGATGAAATGGAAAAGAATAATCCTACTCTCGACCCTTTTTTCAGTCGGAAACGGTCTGCAGTTAACAGCTTAACTTTTTAACTATTACTGAATGATATATTGTTTTTTAAGGTTTAAAAGTGTTTTAAAATCTATTGTTCACAAAAATTAATGATTAATGGTACGACTTAACAAATACTATACGACTTATAGTACCACTTATCTGATTTGGACCACTAATCCTTGTGGCATCGTCGAGTGCGAGTAACACACAGACACGGAGTTGTTTTATACAGTTTTATTTACAAGTTTTATTACACTATATACACACTCCTCGGAAACTAGCGCTGCACTCCCTGCACTGCGCATCTCTGAGGCATCCCCGCCCCAGCCCCACGCAAACCCCAGCGGCTTGGCGCCGCTCCTGGTCTTTTGTCCCGTGGCAACCGCCACACCTCGCTGCCGAAGCTCGCGATAACCCCTGGCGGGTGACAAATGCCTTCCGCGATTCGGTTCAAACTCGAATGACCACGGCTGGTTACTCTCCAGTCGCCTCGCGAGGGTCACGTGACAGACCTCACATGCCGGCGGCGTCCTCTCATCCCGAAACGCGGGCCTGTTTGCAATTTTGGAGTCCAACTGCACCGCGGCTGGACTCACCCATCATTTCCCTCTCCGCCAGTTGAC